TGGCAGCATCAATGGGCTCAAGCATGGCAACAATAGTGAGGTTGGCCCAGGATCGGGCAGTGTTTCATTCTGCTGTGCATAAGGTCGCTATGAGTCGGTACTGACTCGATGGTACCTAACAACAACAACAAAAGGGCAAGTAGGAGTTGTCTAAGTTGGACATTCCTAACCAGGGACTGCCTGCATTTAAAAATGTTGAGACTCTACCTGGTGCTTTTTGCTCTGAGGTTGCAGTGGTGCATATGATAGACATAGTTCCTGTCTTCTTGGAATTGATATTCCAGAGGGTAAGATCAGGGTTGGTGCTCTTGTTAACTGCCATCGAGTCAGTTCCAACCCACAGCAACCTTAAATAATTGGGATGATCACACTGTTGCTAGCCAGATAAATCTTAGTTCTGGGAGAGTCATAATAATCAAGAACACAGACAAATAAGTTAAACAATTAGAGACTGTGACACATACAGTTAAAGATGTGAGTGGAGAGGTCAGCCAGGACCAGGTTGTGTGCTTATGGGTAGCATTTGACTGGGCTACCTTGTCTATTAAAGTGTAGGAGCTCCTAAAGCAGAATGTGTGACCAGCATTTCCTATGTATCTCCATGTGACACCTTGCAATGGTGCTAAGCACTTGTCAACATTGAACAAATGTTGTAGCTGTGACCAACTGACAGGGCATCCTTGGGTGCTCAGTCACCCATTTCAAAATTTCCTTGTTGGTCACAGTCACAATGCACTTTTTGGTTGTAACCCTTTTATTGCCTCTCTGCATCCTCTTTATTTTTTATGTTTTGCTTGTGTGTGGCTGATAAGGGTCAGAAAGGAAAATGTCAGGGGCAACAGGGCTTAATGAATCAGAGGACAGAGATTTACATAAAAATGCCTGTTCCACAATTGCCCCATTGTCTGGAGAAAATGATTGGGTTTCAGCAATGGTCAGCTTAGAAAAGAAGAAAACTAGTTGATCACCAGTGTCATATCCAAGAAGGAGGCAAGGCTGCTGAGCCTGGAGACCCAGCTCTAACCTGCCCTGGGATTTTGTTTCTAAAGCAGCTTTTCTACACTTTGGAACTATGACTACTATTGAAGTTGTGATTGGCAAAATTCAATTCATGTCTAATAAAGATGGAAGGGTATAGATAGAAACCGGTTTGCCTGAAAACCCTCTACTTGGATTCTTCCAAGACTTTAAGACAGAACCATAGCTTCCTTAGAATGCTTCATAAAATCTTGAATTGTATAGGGATGTGAGGATTGTGACATAATTTTTACTTATGGAAGGTTTGTTGTTGTTGTTTGACTTCCTATGAAGGAATCCTAAGAACAAGACAGAAAGGTGAATGCCCAAACTGATCTTTCAACTTCCCAGTCTAAAGTGGTAACTAGGGAAACATCACAATTGATACAACTAATGCAATTTTAAGAGTATCCTGTGTTGTGTGGGTTTGTTGGGGTTAGGATTTTACTGTGGATTAACGCACTGACTGGAATGCAAAGTTGGTTTGAACCACAAGGTCAGTGGTTCAAGCTCACCGGCTGCTCCTCAAAAACTCTATAAAGGGTCTCTATGGGT